TAAACTATATTATTCTTTTTTTTTATTACACATAAATCTATTCACAGAGTTAACGGGATTTATATGGTGTTGGTTGGTTACTGTGTTTTAACATTTTAGACATATGTATTATTTTAGTGTGAACATTTGTTCTGTCGTAGCACAATTGCCTCAAAAACTCAGTTGAAGAAAAGTAAACACTTATAAACAAAATATTGGTTTAAAAATACAGAGATACCGAAAAAAAACAATCTGAAAGGGTTTATTTTTCAGTCAAAGATCAAACACAAGAGGGTTAGAGGAAACAGGAACAACAACAGTAATTTCTGATATCAGAGTTATACATACTAACAAAGGTGGATTTAAACTAGGATCTGCGAGGATTTTTCTCTCCCTGACTCGGACGAGAGTTCAGAAGAGGATAGAAATAGCACAATTTTATGTAGACAAACTTGTTAAGAAAGCTTTTCTAAATGAGAATTTTCTGGAAGGTAGCATAAAGGTTCCATATCACAAAGGGAAGGCTGTAATTGATTTTGGGGGTAATTGCCTCAAAATTTTAGGAATTAGGGGCCAAAAAAGGGGCAAAAAACAAGCATTTTTCTAGTTTCATGACAATAACTTGTGTGTAAGTGTTTGGATATTTCTGAAATTGTACTACAAGGCTCCATATCACAAAGGGAAAGCTGGAATTGAGTTTGGGGGTAATTGCCCGAAACGTTTAGGAATTGGGGGCCAAAAAGGGGCCAAAAATAAGCATTTTTCTAGTTTCCAGACACTAACTTGTGTTCAAGTGTATGGATCTCTCTGAAATTGTACTGCAAGGTACCATACCACAAAGGGAAGGCTGGGATTGAGTTTAGGGGTGATGAATCATAAGGGGGTTCAAAAAATTTGGGGGGGGATTTTTTTTTTTTCTTTTTTTTTTCTTTTTTTTCATTTTTTTTTCTTTTAAAATTTTCCATTTTAAGTTGGTTATTTCTGATTAATATTTAAAAGCAAATAATAATGATATGGTAGGAGATACACACCAAACAGGATGTGTAAATTATTATATAATAAGTATTGTGCAATAGCAAGAAATTTTTAATTGCACAGTATTGCACAATTGCAAGAAATCTTCAATTACACAGTATTGCTCAATAGCAAGAAATCTTCAATTGCACAGTATTGCGCAATAGCAAGAAATATCCAATAGCACAATATTGCGCAATAGCAAGAAATTGTCAATTGTACAGTATTGCACAATAGCAAGAAATATTCAATTGCACAGTATTGTGCAAAAGAAGATACTTCGTATAAATTGCTTATTTCTTGATCAATTTCAATGGGGTTTTATTCTTGAATTCTTGGGGTTCTTTAATATGCTGAATCTAACCTTGGAATTAAGTTTTTGGATTTTGGGCCCCGTTTTTAAATTGGTCCACATTGAGGTCCAAAGGGTCCAAATTTTAACTTTGTTTGATTTCATCAAAAATTGAATTATTGGGGTTTTTTGATATGCCGAATCTAACCGTGTATTTAGATTCTTAATTTTTGGTTCCGTTTTCAAATTGGTCTACATTAAGGTCAAAAGGGTCCAAAATTAAACTTAGTTTGATTTTAACAAAAATTGAATTTTTAGGGTCCTTTGATATGCTGAATCTAAACATGTATTTAGATTTTTGATTATGGGCCCAGTTTTCAAGTTGGTCCAAATCGGGGTCCAAAATTAAACTTTGTTTGATTTCAACAAAAATTGAATATATGGGGTTCTTTGATATGCTGAATCTAACCATGTATTTAGATTTTTGATTTTTGGGCCCCGTTATCAACTTTGTCCACATTGCGGTCAAAAGGGTCCAAAATTAAACTTTGTTTGATTTCATCAAAAATTGAATTCTTGGGGTTCTTTGATATGCTGAATCTAACCATGTATTTAGATTTTTTATTTGTGGACCCGCTATCAAATTGGTTCATATTGAGGTCAAAAGGGTCCAAAATTAAAATTTGTTTGATTTCATCAAAAATTGAATTATTGGGGTTCTTTGATATGCCAAATCTAACCGTGTATTTAGATTTTTAATTTTGGGTCCCGTTTTTAAATTGGTCTACATTAAGGTCCAAAGGGTCCAAAATTAAACTTAGTTTGATTTTAACAAAAATTGAATTCTTGGGGTTCTTTGATATGCTGAATCTAAACATGTGTTTAGATTTTTGATTATGGGCCCAGTTTTCAAGTTGGTCCAAGTTGGGGTCCAAAATTAAACTTTGTTTGATTTCAACAAAAATTGAATATATGGGGTTCTTTGATATGCTGAATCTAAACATGTATTTAGATTTTAGATTTTTGGCCCAGTTTTCAAGTTGGTCCAAATTGGGGTCCAAAATTAAACTTTGTTTGATTTCAACAAAAATTGAATATATGGGGTTCATCGATATGCTGAATCTTACCATGTATTAAGATTTTTTATTTGTGGGCCCGCTATCAAATTGGTTCATATTGAGGTCAAAAGGGTCCAAAATTAAACTTTGTTTGATTTCATCAAAAATTTAATTATTGGGGTTCTTTGATATGCCAAATCTAACCGTGTATTTAGATTTTTAATTTTGGGTCCCGTTTTTTAAATTGGTCTACATTAAGGTCCAAAGGGTCCAAAATTAAACTTAGTTTGATTTTAACAAAAATTGAATTTTTGGGGTTCTTTGATATGCTGAATCTAAACATGTGTTTAGATTTTTGATTATGGGACCAGTTTTCAAGTTGGTCCAAGTTGGGGTCCAAAATTAAACTTTGTTTGATTTCAACAAAAATTGAATATATGGGGTTCTTTGATATGCTGAATCTAAACATGTATTTAGATTTTAGATTTTTGGCCCAGTTTTCAAGTTGGTCCAAATTGGGGTCCAAAATTAAACTTTGTTTGATTTCAACAAAAATTGAATATATGGGGTTCTTTGATATGCTGAATCTTACCATGTATTTATATTTTTTATTTTGTGGGCCCGCTATCAACTTTGTCCACATTGCGGTCAAAAGGGTCCAAAATTAAACTTTGTTTGATTTCATCAAAAATTGAATTCTTGGGGTTCTTTGATATGCTGAATCTAACCATGTATTTAGATTTTTTATTTGTGGACCCGCTATCAAATTGGTTCATATTGAGGTCAAAAGGGTCCAAAATTAAAATTTGTTTGATTTCATCAAAAATTGAATTATTGGGGTTCTTTGATATGCCAAATCTAACCGTGTATTTAGATTTTTAATTTTGGGTCCCGTTTTTAAATTGGTCTACATTAAGGTCCAAAGGGTCCAAAATTAAACTTAGTTTGATTTTAACAAAAATTGAATTCTTGGGGTTCTTTGATATGCTGAATCTAAACATGTGTTTAGATTTTTGATTATGGGCCCAGTTTTCAAGTTGGTCCAAGTTGGGGTCCAAAATTAAACTTTGTTTGATTTCAACAAAAATTGAATATATGGGGTTCTTTGATATGCTGAATCTAAACATGTATTTAGATTTTAGATTTTTGGCCCAGTTTTCAAGTTGGTCCAAATTGGGGTCCAAAATTAAACTTTGTTTGATTTCAACAAAAATTGAATATATGGGGTTCATCGATATGCTGAATCTTACCATGTATTAAGATTTTTTATTTGTGGGCCCGCTATCAAATTGGTTCATATTGAGGTCAAAAGGGTCCAAAATTAAACTTTGTTTGATTTCATCAAAAATTTAATTATTGGGGTTCTTTGATATGCCAAATCTAACCGTGTATTTAGATTTTTAATTTTGGGTCCCGTTTTTTAAATTGGTCTACATTAAGGTCCAAAGGGTCCAAAATTAAACTTAGTTTGATTTTAACAAAAATTGAATTTTTGGGGTTCTTTGATATGCTGAATCTAAACATGTGTTTAGATTTTTGATTATGGGACCAGTTTTCAAGTTGGTCCAAGTTGGGGTCCAAAATTAAACTTTGTTTGATTTCAACAAAAATTGAATATATGGGGTTCTTTGATATGCTGAATCTAAACATGTATTTAGATTTTAGATTTTTGGCCCAGTTTTCAAGTTGGTCCAAATTGGGGTCCAAAATTAAACTTTGTTTGATTTCAACAAAAATTGAATATATGGGGTTCTTTGATATGCTGAATCTTACCATGTATTTATATTTTTTATTTTGTGGGCCCGCTATCAAATTGGTTCATATTGAGGTCAAAAGGGTCCAAAATTAAACTTTGTTTGATTTCATCAAAAATTGAATTATTGGGGTTCTTTGATATGCCAAATCTAACCGTGTTTTTAGATTTTTTAATTTTTTGGTCCCGTTTTTTTAAATTGGTCTACATTAAGGTCCAAAGGGTCCAAAATTAAACTTAGTTTGATTTTAACAAAAATTGAATTCTTTGGGTACTTTGATATGCTGAATCTAAACATGTGTTTAGATTTTTGATTATGGGACCAGTTTTCAAGTTTGTCCAAGTTGGGGTCCAAAATTAAACTTTGTTTGATTTCAACAAAAATTGAATATATAGGGTTCTTTGATATGCTGAATCTAACCATGTATTTTGATTTTGGACATTGGACCATAATAGGTAAATTAAAAAAATTGAAGTTCTTAGACCACATTCTTTCTGTGTCAGAAACCTATGCTGTGTCAAATATTTAATCACAATCCAAATTCAGAGCTGTATCAAGCTTGAATGTTGTGTCCATACTTGCCCCAACTGTTCAGGGTTCGACCTCTGCGGTCGTATCAAGCTGCGCCCAGCGAAGCATTTTATTTAATTTTGCATCTCAAATTTATAATAGTGTTGCTATTTATTCTTGAAATCAAATTAAAATTTTGGTCACTTATGCACAATACATGTACTAGTAATTGGTTTAAACAAAGAAATCATGGAATCTCTACGAACCTATACAACGAAGTTTTTAAACTAATGTTAAGACAGATTCGACATTTGTCATGACATTCTAGATTGAATACAGTAATTATTATTGGAATTCTTCCGTTTTTACCAGACCAGCAAATGCCCACACGACATCCAATGAAAAGGAGTTCAATGTAATGAGTAAATATTTACAAAATTTTCGAGCAAAAATAAAATAAAATAATGAATTTTTGTCTATTTCAGAATTTTTATCGGATGTCGTTTTCCTGAGTTACAGTCTAAATGAATGTCACAGAACAAGATATCCGGGATGCAACATTTACTCATGGAATTGACGTGTATTATCCACCTATTCTCATCGTCTTGGGAGTAGCATGTAATATCTTAGTTCTCCTTGTAATGAGGACACGCTATTTTCGTTACCAACCTTCTTCCGTTTACATGATCGCTGGATCTATAAATGATATTTTTAGCTTGTCAATCTCTATGACAACGCATTGGTTGCATGTGACATTTGATGTTTATTCTAGGGACAAAACACGCTATATTTGTAAATTTTTAGATTTTTACGGCTGGGGAAATTGTGATTTGGGAATATTAATTACAACAGCGATGACAATTGATAGGGCACTTGCAATAAAATTTCCATTGAAGAAGAATGACATAAGTACATTTAGAAGAGCGAAAATAGCAATTTTTGTTGTGACTGTGATAACATTTGCCAAGGAATTTCACTTCTTTATCGGATCTGATATGGTGGAAGAAGATAGAAGTGAAAGACTGTGTGACGTCTATCCGAAATCAGACGCTTACGAATATTTTTGGACAAAAATTTGGCCGTGGTTTCATTTATCATTTCTGGTCATCTGTTTTATTTTAATGTTTATAAGTAACATTGTTTTATTATGTTCAATATGGAAATCATCACACAGAGAAATCCTTAATTCGGTAGAAAAACTCAAGTTCGATAGATCATTTGTTAGAGGTAACAAACAGGTTCAGACGATAACGCCTATGCTTATTGGCGAATCTATAGTTCTTCTTCTTCTTACATTCCCATTTTCGACACAGCTTTTCATATCAGGTTACGACTCAACGTATTACCAAACAGCCACAACGCATTTTGTGTTTTCGTTGACATTTTATATGTTATATACAAATAAATGCGTTAATTTTTTCGTATATTTAGTAACTGGACATCGATTCAGATTAGGACTAAAAGAACTTATAACCATGTGTTGCTACGGAAAAAAGAAATTTAGGCAAAGTTTGTACCAGAGTACCTTAGGTCACATGGCGTTCTCAAAGCCTCGTATTCATTCCAGCGGGGAACATAATACAGTTTTCGAACAAGATGCCCTATCTTCTCGTTCGGCTAGTGAAACAAATAATAATTCAAAGTCGGACCAAGAAAAGACTGGATTAACAATTTTGTCGAAACAGAGCGAGATGAATTTGCAGTTAATAAGCTCAATAATTTCACGAGACAGTGCTAAAAAATCATGCCCTTGCAAGGCTAATGCAACTTTAGACTTATCAGGTGATTCAATACGTGTTGTTCTAAGTAACAATAGAGGAGTAACTGAGTGCTCATATTTGTAGTCTTAATTTTATTTATTATATCGGTGTTTAACTGACTTTGTGCAATCGAATGAAATTTGAATATTTAGTGCCAGACTGCACTTTGAATTTGTTTATCAGAAATGTGTTCTTTACATTAAAGATAAACGTCTTATCAAGATCTATAAATACATTGACAAGCATGCAATGTACAAGTACAGCATCGCTAAAACTATACCATTTTCTATGTTTTCTAATGATATTGTTTTCTGTTTAAATTTACACAGAACAAAATTATCAGCTTAAAGTGCAGAATACAATTACGATTCTTTTGCTGTTTTTTTCTTATAAGAAGTTCTCAACGACACAAAATAAATAGATAAATTTCCATGCGAGATATGCGAAAGGAAAATACTGCAAATAAAACAAAAAACGAAAAAAAAAGAGAAAAAAAAAAACCAAAACCCACCACTTATTTCATACCACGCTAACCTTACAATCTAGTACGCAAGTGGCGGTCGAATCAACGCATATTGAAGCCCAACTGAAATACGAACTTTAAACTGCATAGAAACAAGGTACATTCCTTCAAAGCGATGTCCTTCACACGGAGAGCATGCTTGCACAAAAAATGAAAAAAAAAGGTTCATGGACTCTTTTTGCAGGTGGTTACATGCTATAGCTTGGTCTACTGTTAAAATAAAATTAGTTTTGCAAATAGATTTCGTCGAAAAAAATGTCAACGAATAAAATCATTTCTGACAATATTATCGTATCTATTGTTTTCTCTTGCTTTTATAGAACCGAAAAGAGCACCAGCATACATGTAAAAACCTAATAAAATTAAAACAGCAACATTCTATCTACCAAATATACATATTTATTTTTAAAAGTTATAGAAAATGCAGTGTCAGTATAGCGTCTGACCACCATGCATATTATGACAACAGTTACAAATATACATTTGATATCTGAAATTAATTGTGAGGCAGTGACCTCTCTTCACCAATTCGTACTGGCGACCATGAAATTTATAAGAGATAATACTAAGCAAGTGCTTGAAAAAGACTTTGAAGGGACATAAATCCTGCTCTATACCGAATACCATCTTGCCTTAAAGAATCTCCACACGGTGATAGCCGTAGTAAACTTGCTTAATATAAAATATTGCTCATCGGGTCATTATTTATGAAATAAAAATTTCGGTCCCTAATATGGCTTTCTTAAGGTATTCAAGTCTTGCAACTAGGGTTCTGCTTGTGAGATTGATAAAAACAAGTTTTTCGTCAGAGTTTGGTTTTATATTTTGAAACCACATTTCTTACGGATACCAAATATGCAGACGTCGTGATATACACAATGAGTAGATAAAGGGGAGAAATTTTTCGAATCGTTGGTAATCATGATTAATGAAATTCATGAAGCAATATGAAAATCCCTCAATCTTACTAATCTAAAACCGCACTTTTTTTAAAAAAAGCATGTTTTTCATAATTGGGAAGAAATGAATGCATACAACTAAACCATCAATGTCTCGAGATATGATTATTATCCTGCTAATAATGTTTTAGAAATGAAATTCGCGATTCGTATGCAGAACATTTTAGCATTCTCTAGGACTACACTAAGATGAATATTTGACAAAACATTTACCCGAATTTGTAGGTTACAATAACTCGGAGAGTTTTAACATACTTTTCTCTTTTCGTGATTATATATAATTCGAATGTCCCTTTGGAAATTTCGCCTAGCATAGCTCAATATATGAATGGGGGATGTTTTTTAAACCTCAGCCGGTCGTCTGTACCCATTTGTATGTTGAGATCCCCGTGTTGCAGTCACTGAAAGCTTTGTTTTCCAAAAGACTTTGTCCATAAAGATACCATTTCATTAAGGACCAATGTTTTTTCCGGAGCATTTTTTCCGGAATATAATATGTTTTTAAACAATAATTAATCAACAATTAAAACACACTGTTCACACGTTATCGAATATTTTAATCCTTGTAACAAAACTAACATTTAATAAACAAATATAAGGATTGATCTGGTTTTATAATAATGAACAAAAACGTTTGGTGTAAAACGGGTTTATTGAATGTTGAAAATCACATTTGAGCCACATATAAACCCGTCTATCATGCAAAGCATCAAGCAGATTTGGTAAACATATTTTTAAACAGGCCTTAGCCGTGTGGCACAACGCAAGATTAAATGCCAGAAAAAAAAAACCGATTTTTTTTAGCCTGAAACTGCAGTAAGGTTAGAAACTAAACAACAATACAATCCCTGTATCAGCCCCAGTATCACCCTGCAACTACAATTGTCCGTCTAGTTTGCATTGCAACAAACATGCAACTGTTTGTCTGCCTTGTTTTCGCTGCACATCTAAAAGATTTTTAAAACTTTTTTGTTATTTTTTTTTATCTATACTAATACATATAAAATTTCTAAATGTCATTCATATCAAATGTACCTTCGAGTAATCATCTAACATCAAGCCAGAAAACGACATAGATTTTGGTAATTTGTCAAATTGGTTTAAGATTTACAATGAAAAATATGGAACAACAAAGTTGATTCTTTATCACAGTGTTTTTGTTTATAAACAGCAACTCTCTTTAGATATTCACATGTTTCTAACAAACGTGTTTGTCTCAAGTTTCTGTTTTACGGCTTCATAGCATTTTACGTTTATTTCGACAAAGTAAGCGACCTTATATTTATTTGAAGATCATGGCAACATCGTATTGACTTTTTTTTAATTCCAATCTATCAATTGGTTTTGGAGGATTGAGAATGTGACGAAGATATGATTGTGAGGACGCTTCTGCTACCCATTTACAGCGCATTTTATATATTGTTGAGAATATTATTATTATAAGATTTTAAACAATAACAGAAATAAACGCACTTATATCTTCCATTTTCAGTTAAATTTCACCATGTTAAGTTTATGGAAAATCTTTTAAAAATCTTCAACATGACATATTTACTGTCTCTTGGCATTTCTTTACTACCCTTTTACACAGACGCCATTCAGACTGATCATGCATGATGTTTGAAGCAATAGGGCCAAAACGTAAAATTTTGGATTATTATTGCATGTTTTTGCTCAGTAGTTCTGCATTAAAATGACATACATTCTTGGTATTCCTAAACGGGAGATTTTATACACACAGAAGAAGTATACTAAACAACAAAATTATTTTCATTTACCTGTGTATAATATGACGCAGGTTTTTTCAAAAGTGATTATTTTCTAAATATTGTTTAACATTTCACAGTGGTATCATACTTTTAATTTTGTTTAAACCTGTTATTTTCTTTTGACCTTAATTATTTATCCCTTATAATTTTTATTAACTAAGTATTTGCATTCAGGTATCACAGATCAAATTTATTCGTTCATTGTGTGTTAATTTACGTTTTTTGATTGAGTTAAGCCTTCCAATTGATATTTTATAGTGTGTCTTTCTATGTTGTGATGTTATACTATTGTTTCAGAAAAGGGAGAAGGTTTGGTACCATTAAAACGTTTAATCCCGCTGCAAATGTTTGCACCTGTCCTAAGTCAGGAATCTAATGTACAGTAGTTGTCGTCTGTTTATGTAGTTCATACGTGTTTCTCGTTTTTATATAGATTATACCGTTGGTTTTCCCGTTTGAATGGTTTTACACTAGTAATTTTTGAGGCCCTTTATAACTTGCTGTTCGGTGTGAGCCAATGCTCCGTGTTGAAGGCCGTACCTTGACCTATAATGGTTTACTTTTATAAATTGTAACTTGGATGGAGAGTTGTCTCATTGGCACTCATACCACATCTTCCTATATCTATATACATAACTAAAGAGCGACGTTGGTTTCATTAAAGCTTAGTGATTTTATAGGACTGAACCATCTCCAACACGCAAAAAATTGGCACCAGAAAACTTGAGTAAAAGCTAGTATTAGCCCTTACCGTTGATTGCAATAACCGGTTATCAGGTATAGAATCACTAATTATGAGGACTGGCGGATGTGTATACCTGAAAATTGTTTTTTTTATGCAATGTAGTTTATATCTGGAATAAAAAAGATATATAAAAGAACTTAAGAGATTAATATACAGTCTTCGACATAAGACAGGTTTATATACAATATGGCAATCTCATAATCGCCATGATTCTTAAACAAAATATAAAGAAACTGTCAAAGATTGCCATCAACACTAAATCTTCAGAAAAACACCAAGATATTGTATAAGACAATCATTAACGAGATTCCTGACTAAGGAAAGGCATACGAACAGATAGGGGGTAAACTATTTTTTTTTGTCTGCAACTTTTAAACCACGAAAAATGTCGTAGAAAACTTTATATACTATAAAAGCTAAAAGAGTGTATATTTCCAAACATGAATTTAAAGAATGCAGTAATTTTGGTGCATTTTTGTTTTCGAGAACAATCGATTTCTTATTTCTTATGGAAGCCAGTCATCCTTTGTATGCTATTAGATATATGCTAATTAATTAGGACCAGATCATATTTTTAGCAGCTCTTGCAGGGTGTTTATAGAATACAATTACTTGATCACGTTGTTACCGTTTTAAATAGCAGAATAGTGCATATCAAACTATTTCAAAGATGAAAATAAATCAAATTGATGCACTCCAATAGTGCAAAAGTTCGTGGAACTGTCAACAGTCATTATCGTTTGTGTAATAAAGAAGACAATCATAAACATTGCAAGTCATGTGATACAGTAATGTTTGTTTTATCCTCGAATATGCATTTATCTTTAAAATTCATAGCCATCGAATAAATTACACAAAAAAAAAAATACAAAAGGGAAAACAATGTTGATAGAAAAACATAAAATATAATTATTAGAATTTTCCAGAACTTCTCAAAATTTTTTAGATTCTACAAATCGAATCGATCATGTTTAATAATGATACAAGTTAAAATGAAAGGGTTAATAATATTGTACTGAAGCTTGCTTCGTGTCTTACAACAATTACATTATAATGAATGTCTTCAATCTTGACAGAACATATTCAAAGACAGATTAAGATTTGATTAACCGTAGCAAGCTATTATATTGTATCTACTAGTAATGACTGATCACAGACGTCAGATCTTTCATGTATTTTATCGTAATTTACAGAACATAAATTTGATTGAGTCCTGTCGAC